CAATACACTCTTTCTCCTTCACAATACCACGGATTGACAATCCTAACCATCTTAGCCAGATAAAATAATACAGACACAAGTTGTTACAAGTTTTATTATCCAAAATCAAATCTTGAACTTTAAGTATTGGTTTAAGAAAAGCAAAAAAGAAAAAAGAAAAAAGAACAAATCTTGCTATGGCACCCATCTGATCTCATGTTTCTCTTTTATCATCTCATGTGAGCAGCAACATCATTATTGCAAGGTCAGGGAGAAAGAGGAACAAGTGAGTGACACCTCCATTGTTTCCAGATTGAGGGGGAAAGAGAGACAAAGGTTGGAGAACTTTTTGAAATAGAGAGAATGGTGATTGAAGAAAAAAAAGTGTCACCATTGCCACATGTGACTACTAGACATCATTGTAGTGTGAGTAGTATCTTTGTTGTTGCTAAATCAGGGGAGAAAAAGGAGCAAATGTTAGAGAAGAAGTTTTTGAAATGGAAGAGATGAAGGTTGGAGATGAAAATGAGTTTCATTGTTGTCTCATAGGTGACCGAAAATCATCTCAATAATGTTGATTTTATTTTTTTATGATTTTAAATTTTTTATTTTTTCGATAAAAAACCTACTACTACCGATCAAAAACCACCATCGTCGATGCATCACCAACATAAATTCTTCACTTTAGAAACATTCTAAAAAAATTCTCATTTTACTTTCTAAAATTATATATGTTGATAATTTATTTATACAAAATGGTTAGATTTATAAAAAATATATTTTAATTTAATCCGATATTGTATTCTCCATAATGCATGTTCGACCCCCTTATTGTTACTTTGGTGGGTATAACTATTTAAGAAGACCCCTTGACATCAAAAGTGAAATTCTTCTAGTGAACTTTTGTTAGCCTTCAACAAGTAAAATCTTAAGTCAAACTGATCACTACTGAATTTTAACAGTGATACTTAATCATAGGTCAACATATCACTGACTCCCTTACAATAGTTATAAGAGATTTGTCTCCTATCTATCTATCTATATATATATATGAGGAGAGATTCTTTTAATCCAAGAATAAGTCTAGATAGACTTACTCTATTCAATAACTCATGTTCTACATCAAATTTCAATGATCCAGTCATTGAATTTAAAGTTCTTAATACATAGATCAAATCTGCAAATTTAAAAAAAAAAATTGAAAATCATTTGATACATCATTTCATTAATTCAAATTGACGGATCATTATAAAATCATTTTATACATTGATTTGAATTAATGAAACGAAATATCAAATAATTTTTAAATTTTTTTAAAATTTGCATATTTGATATATGCATTAAGAAATTTAAATTTAACGATTGGATCGTTAAAATTTGATGTAAAGCATGAGTTATTGAACGGAGTAAGTCTACCTAAACTTACTCTCTCTCTCTCTCTTTATATATATATATATATATATATATATAGAGAGAGAGAGAGAGAGAGAGAGAAAGCATATCAGGTGAGAGGATATTTTATTATAAGAGATGGAAGGGTTAAAATATAACACTTAAATTAAATTAATGAATCAGATTAAATTAGATAATTAAATTTCTAATCACCAAATATTTCTCTGCTCCTTCCTCTATTACTCCCTAGGCACGGGGGTTGGAAGATCTATTCATTCAAAGGAAAAGCGCACAAAAAATTGGATTTTCACGATAAGAGCTAGTGGAATGGACCCTTTCTTCATGCCAATAGGGAAAAGAAAAGAGGTCCACTATGAGAGGAGAAAGTGATTCAACTACTAACAAGCACAAGTTTTTCATGAAATGAATGGTTCTTTAGGAAACAATTGTTGATGAAGAGGTGTTACATAGTATCAAAAAGGAAACCATTCAAAGAGACAAAGTTTGATCACCCTCATGCAGGATGAACATTTAAAGGGGTAAAATGTAAAAAAGAATAGGAGAATGAGACATAAGCATACCTTATGGAGGAGATGAAAGAATAGAAAAAGAGGAGGAAGGAGTAAAGAAGTATTGGGCAATTAGGGATTTAAAAATCTAATTTAATCTAATTCGTTAAATTAATTTAAAGGTTATATTTTAACCCTCTCATCTCTCACATAAAATACACTCTCACCTAGGGGTGTTCATGGATCGGTTTTTTCAAAAAACCGATCCAAACCGAACCGAACCGTTTTATAAAAGTGGATCGGTTAACTGATTCATTTTTTATAAAGTGGATCGGTTTGGTTTTTTTAAAATATGGATCGATTTTTTTGAAATTGGATCTGTTTGGTGCGGTCCAGTTATCCACTTTTTTACTCATATATGGATCGGTTTTTTTAGAAAACCAAACCGAACCGAACCGATCCACTTTGTAAAAATGGATCGGATAACTAAACCAGTTTTATAAAGTGGTTCGGTTCGGATTTTTTTTCAAAATGGATCGAATTTTTCAATATGGATTGGATCGGTTATAGATTGGTTCGGATCAATTTAGATTTTTTGCACACCCCTACTCTCACCTGATACGCTCCCTATATATGTATATATATAGAAAGAGAGAAAGAGGAATCCGTTTATTCCAAGAATAAGTTTATTTTGACTTACTTCGTTCAATAACTCATGTTCTACATCAAATTTTAACAATTCAACCATTGAATTTGAAGTTCTTAATGCACATATCAAATCTGCAAATTTTTCAAAAATTTGAAAACCATTTAATATTTCATTTCATTAATTCAAATCAATATATAAAATGATTTTATGATTATTCGTCAATTTGAATTAATGAAATGAAATATCAAATAATTTTAAATTTTCTAAAAATTTACAAATTTAATTTATGCATTAAGAAATATAATTAAATAAGGGTTAAAAAATTAAATCCGAAAGTGATAGATGCTTATAATTTTATACACTAACGAGTCTCGTGGGAGTTTCTCACTTAATTGCAAATGGGGAGAAGATGCCCAAAGAGGAGCAAAAAATGGGGGAAAAAACAGAAAAACCATATATTGAAAACAATTTTATATATAAAAACAAAAAGAGCATCCATTGGGTCGTAATGTAAACTCAACTATTATTGGTAACTTCAGCCTGCTTTGCCCCGACAGAGAAGAACTCAGTGATGACTTCCAGTGGCATGCCCTTGGTTTCAGGAACTTTTAAGAAGACAAACATCCAAGCTAAGATGCACACAACCGCATACATACCAAAAACACCACCAAGGCCCACAGAATTAAGCATAACTGGGAGCGTGTAGGTGACTATGATGTCCCCAATCCAAAATGTAAGAGCACATGTAGCTATGCAGAGACCACGAACTCGAGTAGGGAAGATCTCTGCACAAAGGATATTGGGAATTGGCCCAAAGCCCATGACGAAACAACAGAAGTAGACAACAACACTCAAAGTTGAGATAAAAGCATTCACAGTACTGTCTAAATTCACAAGACTCCCCACTACTAATATGAGAAGTGATACTATCAAGATAGGGATTGTAGTCAGTAGCAAGGTCCTGAATAAAATAAAATAAAAAAACAGAAAATATCAGCAACAATTACCGCAGACCGAATGAAGAAAAACATCTAATGGAAAAATATACAAGGAAGTATACAAGATTACAAGGGGTTAAAAAACTCCACAAAGAAAAGATAACTCAGCAATTTCAAATATTTAAATATTTAATTTGTTTTGAATCTTCAAACACTGCAGATTATAAAGGTGACTGTTTCTAGAATTATCTCAAATACCTCCATTTAGGAACTTAAAAACAAAACAAAACACCACAACCAAGCCTTATCCGCTAGGTCGAGTCCACGTACATGGATCAATCAACGCCACTGTGTTCAATCAAAAACCAAAATTAAAAAAATATAAAGAGAGAGCAAGTTTTTTTTTTTTTTTTCCTAATGGCTTCTCCTAATGTTTTCCCAAGTTTTACAGTGTCTTTTAATCAGACCACTTCAATTTGATCCTTTTTCTCACTAGATCCATCATTGATCTTCTGCAAAACCAGTTAAGTTTTCATTATCCTCTCTGTAGATGCTAATTTCAACTTTCCCTTGGATAAAAACATTCTTAATCTTATCTTTTCTTATATCTGCTCATTCACCTCAGCATTCTCATCTCCAATAAATTTAGTTTTTGCTCATGTTGAAACATCATTGCCCAACATATATTACCATAGAGAATTGTTGATCTTATCACTGTTCGATGTAATTTTCCTTTAGTTTGAGTTTGAGAGTAATTTGCAATGACAGGAATTTCACACCCAATTTGTTATTGAAATGCCACCCTAAACTGCAAAATATTCTAGCAAAGAACATACAATATGTCCTTGAGAAAACCCATCCTGGATACATCCACCGATTAAAACAATTATTTAAGCAAAAAGCCAACAGCAAATGATAAGAGAAAGATGCATACCTTCTGCCAGATATATCCATGAGCCTCATGGCCACAGCTATACAAGGTAACATCAACAAGGTTGTCACACTGCTAATAAGAAGAGACGCAGAAGTAGAACCAAGTCCCAGATTTGAAAGAAGATAACCAACACCTGCTTGCTCAAGAATTTGAGGTGTATAGTAGAGCACCCCATTTATACCAGAGAACTGCAATGTTTAAAGGAGTTAGATGACAGTCACACATAACTTTTCACCAGGTACAAGATCGGGTACAGTTGGTTAATGATGTTCAATGTCTGGTTAGTGAATAATCACCATTCACCAACTGAATGAGTTGAGATTTAAAAATATATCCTAATACGTCAAATAATTTTCTGACAATTTCATTGAAGTTAGATTTATCATTTATCGATGTATATACTTGTTTAAAAAAATATTGTTTCAATCTTTTTTCTTACTATACTAAAAGGGAAATCTAAAAAAATGTACATGTCCCAAGCAAATTGGTTTGAACTATTTTCATATCTTTTTCATATTTTAAATTGAAAAGTGACTTGCTCTAACAATGTCTCAACCAAAATAACTTCACTCCCATCACTTTTCAAGTAATATATCCAATTACAATTTTTTGTTAAGAAATGCACTCTTCTATGTATCAATACTGGCAAAAGTCAGTCAGAAATTTAAAATCTAACAGCAATCCCAAATACAGGATTAATTAAAGCTCAAAGAAACTGTACAGTATATGAGGGCATCATATAAAACCCACAATTAAGATGTATTCAAAACTGCACAAATGTAGAATCAATCCTTCCCTCACCTATTCATTGTTTTCAAGAAAGTGAACAAGATAAAAGAAGCATCAGTAAGCATGGCAGGGATACAAAAGAAAGAAATGAATGAATATGAAAGCACTGAATGACAGTGTTATCTACAGCACATAGCAATAAAAAAATAGCAGACATTGAAAAGATTCATTACCTGTTGAAGAATTTGAATCCCCACCCCCACAATCAGTGCATGCTTCACTCCAGGCTCAAAAAGGTCACTCCAACTCGGCCCTTTTGCAGCTGTCGCGGATGGATGGATCATAGCTGGTCCAACTGGCTGCTGATGCATAAGCTCCTTGTTATAAAGGGCTGGCTGACTCACCAGAGCGGCAGCCTGGACAATCTCACCATCTGTTAGTGTTGGTGCATCACCACCCCCAGGAAGCGAAATGAGAGACCCGCGTCTAGATCCAGGACCACCTTCTTGGTGTAAATATATTCTCTTGAAAATGCCTTCTCTTTCAGACCATTTCCATGCTAGCTGCCATCCACCACCAATCCCTGTGTTTCCAGAAGGTTCTCCTTCCAAAAGACTACCTTGCCTCATGCTACCCTGGGTGGGAGCAGGCATGTCCTTATCCAGGCTTGTTGTTTGACGTGAGATCAATGGACTCTGCAAATTGTCATCAGAATCATCAGCAGCAGCATCAGAGACATAATCATCACCCTCTCTTGCAATGCTTTCTTCATCCCAATCTTCATTCCTAGGTTGATTTCCCCCAACACTAAACATGCTTCCAAAGTGTGGAAAAAGTGTGCTTCGCATGCTTCCTGTTTCTGGGAGCTTCTCATGGACACTACCAAAGAGCTTCACTAAAGGGTCCATAAGACCACTTTGATTTGCCAGGCTTCCCTTCCGAGATACGAGGCTAATGGAACTTTGTCCAGTAACAGGTTTGGCAATCCAGGATAGACCTTGCGATGACCCATACAATTTGATCTGCTCTTTTCTGGCTGATGGATCCTCTGCATCATCGAATTCATCGGCTGGACCAATTATGTACTCTTCTATAGCGGTATCACCCCCAACTCCAAGACCCTCGACCAGTAAAGCCATCTCACCTGATCATTGCCAAGAACATTTACCATCCATATCAAATTAATTTTGATAGTTGAATCAAAAGCAAGTAAAGCGAAAGGGGCGTAACTAACCAGCGACATCTTGTTTGGCGCGAAGTCGTTGCAAAACCTTCTTGGCCTCTAGCATCCGGCCCTTACTGACAAGCCATCTTGGAGATTCAGGCAAGAAAAATAGTGTGAGTGCAAAATAAATGATAGAGGGAATTGAAAGAACACCCAACATGAGTCTCCAGCTTGGGGCCTTGGTGAGTGACATGCCAAACACCATACAGTAGGAAAGGAACATTCCAGCAGAACCGGTGAACTGCGGAAGAGTATTGAGTAAGCCCCTAATCTCAGGTGGAGCTGTCTCGGATATGTAAAGGGGTACCAAGGTGACAGCCAAACCAATGCCAAATCCATCTAAAAGCCTTGCAAAGAGAAGAATATAGACATTTGGAGACCATAGCATGACGAGAGAACTAAGGAAATAAAGGACGGAGGAGATGATCAACATAGGACGTCGGCCTAGGAAATCTGATAGGGGTCCGGAGCATGTAGTTACCACAGTGGCTCCAATAAGTGACATAGCCACAATTAGACCTTCTATTGTGGGTTCACTTTCTAAGTTAAACTCCCTCTTTATGTACAAAATAGATCCTGCATAGCATAAACAGATAAATGATGAAATTGAATACGTTATCTTCATAGGGTTAGGGTAACCAAATGACCTGACCTGCAATGGTGGCATTATCCCATCCTTGAAGGAAGTTGCCGATAGCAGCAGCGACGGCAACAAGAACAGCTCCGCTCATTTTGCGCAACGGTTGCTAATACTGAAAGATGAAATAATATAATAGGATGAAACTAAGGAGATGATCGATCGCAGATCAGATCCAGGATATTCCTAATAAAATCAGCTTTGCTGGCTTGGAGTGTCAGTTTGAGTTGGATGTTTCAACTTTCGAGTATAATTAATCTCAGACGCATAAAAGGACATGGAACAATTTAAAAAACAAGGTTGGTTGGGGCCAGGAGGGTGAGGGGTGAGGTAGCTCCTTCCTTTCCTTCTATTTCTAAAATTATTAACCGATGCGAAACTGGGCGTGGCGGTAGCAAATAGCAATGGCATCACATCATAGTATAGTATTAGTATACAAAACAAGAGGAGACAAGAAAAATGATGTAAGCCAAGCGATAGTATCGGCCGGCTAGGATAGAAATAAGTCATTAATGAATGAGTATTGAGTCCCTCTTTCCACTTCCTCTTCCTCTTCCTGGACTTTGCTTACATTACATCCGCCATTCACACAAAATACAAAATGACTACTACTGTTCCTCGTTACAAAAATTTACAGTATCAACGCTTTTTAAATGTCTTATTAATTAAATAAATGTCAAATTTTAAAAACAAAAATTGGCGGACTACGGACTTCAAGAGAGATACGTTGTATTCACATAGGTATAGAAAAAAAGAAAAAAAAACCCTATTTAGTCTAGGCTCAAAAAAAATAATAAATAAAAATGGACCAATTTGATGGATTGATTGAATTAGGCTGGATTTTTTTTTCTTTTGTCTATTAGAATAAGTTAAACCTTCAAATTAGTTTTTTAAAGTTGTTTTTGTTGGGAAGAAACTTTAAAGGCTAGAAGGAAGTGTTTAAGATTGGGAGAGGTTGGAAGATTTTGAGAGAAAGAAAGGCTTGTTGTATTGAATGCTTCTAAACTTTTTGGCTTACATCCAAATGATACAACCATCCCCTATTTATACTAGTGGCACCTCCTTAACCAATGGTTAGGATCTTGCCACCACAACATTCATCTAAGGGCTATAATTCATTCTCTAGAACTTTCTAAAACATTCCTACAATTCTAAACTTTTCTAAACTTATCTAGAAACATCTTATGGATAAACATCTATAGATATTTTGTACATCATTCTAGAATCTTTTAGATAGGATTTTCTAGAATTCTATTTGGGCCTTTGCTAATATTGGGCTTTTATCTTTTAAGCCCAACATACAAAATCAATTTATATTCCAACACCCCCTCTTAAACTTGATTTTGTACTCCAAGCAAACTTCTCAACTTCATAAAGACTTCTTTCTTCAGCGGTTTGGTGAAGATATCTGCTACCTGATCATGCGTCTTCACATATTCCATTTGCACATCCTTGTTGCTGATGCATTCTCTAATGTAATGGTAACGGGTGTGGATGTGCTTACTTCGATCATGGAAGACTGGGTTTTTTGCTAATGCTATTGCCGACTTGTTGTCCACGTAAATCTTGTTGGCTCCACTTGTGGCAAGCTTAACTCCTTCAATAGGTTGCGTAGCCAAATAACATGGCAAACGCATGAAGTTGCAGCTACATACTCTGCTTCACATGTAGACAAAGTGACAATAGGCTGCTTCTTGGACATCCAAGTAAAGGCTGTGTCTCCCATGTAGAACACAAATCCACTTGTGCTCTTTCGGTCATCCATATCTCCACTCCAATCGCTATCACTATAGGAGATTACTTGCGTGCCCTTTGGGAATAAAGGGTTTTGGTGCCCTCTGTACGGACAGCCAATCAGGTAATGCCACGTGGCCACTTACTCCATGTCATCCAGGGTGTTGAAACTTTGACCAGAAATTGGGTAATTGGATCTCATCCGCCCCTGCACCATGATCCAACAAACCAACCTGAATAGAGGCAATTATTTTTCGCAAATAAATTCGTAAAAAAATTTGGTGAAATTATTATTGCAAAAAAATTCGCAAAAAATTTCTATGAATATTTTTTTGTAGGAAAATTTGCAGGAAAATGACACTTTTCTAGTAGTGGTATTAGATGAGTTACACATTTTCAATCCTATTTCCTTTTGTTTTGTTGTGAACATATGTATCGTAGTTGCTTCACTTCTGTTAAGCAAATACAATCATAAACTAGTAGTTGAGGGGATTTTACGATCATTTGTAAGAGTTCTCCCCTTTGCATCTTGAATTTTCACCTAAAACACATGTAGTTCTCCAGATCGTCATAAGTAGGTAAGCTTGTCCAAAGTGTAGTGTATTGTCCGGTGTGAAAACCAGTGGAACCCCATTGTATCTTCTGATTTTAAATAGTTGAATGATTTAGAGAAGAATTGGGTTTCATTAGTATTGGTTGGTGAGTAAATCTACTTTTCTAGTTGTTGTTCTTAACAAGGCGTAGTAAAAAATGACAAGAGTGTATTTATTCTTGGATTTATCTTAGATTGAAAGGATTTGTTGTTTGTGATTTTTCAGGTTGTGAGAAGTATGAAGGTGGTGTTTTTTGTTGAGCTTCTAATATCCTGAAATTTGTTGTGTATCTGTTCTTTGTAATCATGATAAACATTTTTTTAAGTGGGTGGTTAGTATACTAAAATAAAATTTATGGATTGTTTTTCCATTTTTATTTTATTTTATTTATATTATGTAACGTGTGTTAAAATAGTTGTATTCAGTAAATATAGAATGTAGTCGGTTGTAAATATTAAACCGAGATCATTAGTTTAGTAAGTAATTGCTTGTTGTATATGAGTAACATAAATAAAGAATGTGAGCCATTTGTTAAGTTGGATGATGACAATAATCTAAATTTTGTTAACAATGATAGTTCAAATGAAAATAAAATTGATATTGATGTTGATAATAAGGAAGAGGATGTTGATGTTGAAGGTAATGATTTTGAGTACAAAAGTATCCTTGATTTGAATATAGAGGACATAAAGGGATTGAAATTTTCATATGAGCATAATGCATATAAATTTTACTTGGAATATGGTAAATTCTATGGTTTTGGGATTAGGTAGGATGACATTGGTCATGATGCAAATGGTAATAACTTTTGATAGAGGACCATTAGAGATGAGTTCACACATGAAGACTATTGGACCTTTAATTAGGTCTATGATTAGGAGGCTGGAGGAGATTTCTACAGAGGAGGTTCTTTTTATACCTATATTCTACATGAACATTGAGTATGATTCCTCTTATTAGTTTCTTACTCTCCATTGTATAGTACGTGTAAATAGTAGATACTTGTATACGTATATTTTTACCTTTGTATTTGTGAGACACCTTTTTCTTTCTTTGTAAGTCATATCCTTAGGATTCTAGGGTATGATACTTGGAGACTTCTGTTTCATTTGACCTTGTATTAAGGGTCATTGATTTTCTTATTTTTAGTTTTAGAAGTTGGTGGCAATAATAAGTATGTAGGTGAAGCTAGTAATTGAGCCTTTGGTGGGTCAAGGCCAAATTTTACATATTAGACTTGTTTTTCTCCATTTTTTTTCCAAGGAATTGATTTAGCTAGGTCTCTCCACCATTTGGTGAACCTAACTAAACCAATTCCAAGATTTTTGGGTTGGATTGGATGTAGGATACAAGCCTTAGCCGTCTAGCTCTTTCCATGGCCGAATTCTATTTAGCTTCTCCTACACACTTGTCCCGAAAATTTCTGATCTCGGACCTATGATTTAGACATCCTTTCGAAATTCTCATCAATTAAGGAATGCTCGGACACCAAACTAATCCTTAACTAATGGTTTTAAAAATAGGTTCATGAAGTCGCCACCAATATTTTACTCAAAACATTGGAAAAAGAAAAAAGTTTTTAAGGTCCAATAACACTACAAAAAAATGCGTAGAAAATGGCAGTTTTAAAGTGGCGGTTTAATTGACTTATATTTAACTTATATTATGGCATTTTTAGCAACGTCGTAATATACATGTAAATTGTGGCATTTAAAACTGCCATTTTTCAAGCTGCTTATAATTCTTTTAAAAAGTGACACTTTTAACTACCATTTTTTAAATTACCTTTTATTTATAATTTCATAATATTAATTTATACATTTTTTTTACCTCCCGCTTGTTTATTTTGGTTCCCCCTTTCACTTTGTAACCCTAAAACATTTTCACTTCAGAAAATTTCCCCTCTTAAGTTTCTTTTTCACCATTTCACCGTTCTCCCTTCGCATTCACCACCATAGGGTCTCAAGCTTTATTACCTTGCTCTCACGTAACACACCTGAGTACATGTAAGTTTTCAATTAACATTCATTATTTGCTCTCTTTTTTTAATTTTTGAATTGAAGAAAAAAGGTTCTTTGGGTAGCTATGTATATGTGCTTATGTTTGTTACTTGCATATATGCCTTGGGCTATTTGTGTAGCCACTGATGAACACCCGCCGGAAATTTGTGGTCGTGCAGCTAGTGCTTGAGTAGCCAGTGATGCCACCCACTGGCGTGCGACCAAAGAGTCTTCATAAAAAATTAATGAGTTATATTAATAGTTTGTTTTGTTAAACGTTTAATTAATTTTAGAAAAATCTGAAGGAAAAAAAATAATTTTAGAAAAATGAAACATTTAGAAGCACAAGTTTCCTATTGAGATTGATTTTGCTTTTGGGTTAAAGAAATTAGCGTGGCTTTAGGCATAATGGGACAAAGAGGATATATGTTAAAATTAGAAACAGAGGCGCGTGTTAAAGCCTTTGCCAACAAGTCTTTGTAAAAATAAACAGAATAATTTGTATGCATTTTTAAACTCATGCTTCATGAGACTTTATTAAATAATTTTTTCCTGGATGGATGAAAAGGTTCAAGGAATAATTTATTTATGAGAAATTAATAAGGTATTTGAATGCTAGAATGTAAGCCAGCCGAATTGATAAACAAGGGCTTATTCAGAATCAATTTTTTGAACATGCATAGCTGTTGTTGAGACTTAAAATGTTTGGTATTGAAGATGGCTTATGTGGATTTGTATATTAGATGTTAATTTAATATGGTTGCTATTTAGTGTTCATTTGGTTATTCCATTAAACAAAAATCATATGTAAAATTGATAAAGATAAGGTTTTTGGAAGACAATGTATGATAAGTTTACCCTTGAGAAGTTTGAAACTTTTTGGAAGGATTTGGTTGTTAGATACCAGTTATAATGCAATAATTAGATTCTGCAAACTTACCAAAAAAGGTTTATGTGGGAAAATACTTATATATGTGATAAATTCTTTGTAGGCATTAGAACTATGTCTATGCATGAAGGAATAAATAGTTGTATTAAAATATGTTAGGAGGAAAAATGTTGTTGTTGAGTTGTTTCACAATTTGTAAGAGACTACAGATACAATAAATTGATTGTAGATTTTAATTAATTTTATGTAGAACTTGTTCTTTCAACTTGTCTTCCATACATTGAGAAATAGAAAACAAAGTTATATACATGTGATGTCTTCAAGTTGATAAGATCTAATATTATTGGTGTTGGTGCAATAACT